AATCCATCATTAGTACATGTTTACTATAGCACCACATTGTTAAATCATGGACTAATTAGACTTAAAAAATTCATCTCGTAAAACAATCTCAATCTATGCATTTAGTTTCGTAATTAGTCTATATTTAATACTCTATGCATATGTCCAAACATCTGATGTGACAGCGACTAAAGTTTAGGAGGAGAAACCAAATACCCCCTAAGGCCCCATTTGCTTGTCTTATAATCCGTACTTTTCGGCTTGTCTTTTCAGGCGGAACAGTGTTTTTCTCTCATAACAAATCAGCCGGAACAGTGTTTCAGCTTATTTTTTCAGCGGAGCGAACGGGGCTGCAGTACCCGCAGTCCACACTACTACTCACCAATCCTCTTCCTTCTTGCTCACATTGAACCGTGCGGAAAACAGCTCTCCCCTCCCACCTCCCCGCCCTCCTTCCTCACATTGATGGCTTTGCAAAGAGCCCTACTGCCTCCTCATTTTTTTGCATCAAGTCTCGACCCTAGTACCAGGAAAGTGAATTCCTCAACTTTTGACCTGAATAGAAAGAACCATGGCATTTACGGTTCATCTCTATTGATTCTGGCGGCGAAAATATCCAAAGGTGAGATATAAAATTTCTCTCGAATCCAATGATTTATGTCTCCTGCCTAACTTTTTTTTTCTTTTCCTGTATAAAGTTCTTTTGCGTCTTTTTCTGCTAAGGTCTGCTGCAAGGCCATGGACGGCATAATTTCATCTGATATCCAAGAACATTCACATATCTTGTCCAACCCTAGAATAGTGTCCAAGACCGATGGAACATTCAACGATTTTTATACTAGATTTGAAGGTCAGATTTCCTAGACATTGACCATTTTTACCTAAGTAAATATACCTAAGTAAATATATCCTGCTCTTACTGGTTGTTGGGTTCATAAACCCGGGGTCCCTCATGGACCGGCTTCCCAGCAAAGGCTCGGCTCAGCAGACGATGTTGCGAACGACGCGCAACTCCTGGACCGGCCCAAATACCTAAAACAACAGTCCAGAAGGGCGATCCAATCTCTAACCGGAAGGCCTCGCTAAGGAGGAACAGCGCTCGCTTCCAACTCCGGCCCGCCTCTCTGACCGGAAGGCCTGGCCAAGAAGGAACAACACTCGCTTCCGACTCCGGTCCGCCTCTCCGACCAGAAGGTCTGGCCAAACACCGCTTCCGACTCCGACCCGCGTTTTCGCCCGGGGATGCACGAACCCCTGTTTACAGCTCTTCTCCGACTGACGCAGTCGGAGCCGACTGAGACCAACCGACTGGGGACGCCCGCTCGGTGAGGACCAGAAAACAGACGAAGAAAGTAAGGCAGGGCACTCAAGTCAACCGCAATACCGAGACCGAACTCTGTACACCTGCGGGACAGTACCAACAGGGCATGTCAGAAGGGTGCCCTGCAACCTTCCTGGCATGTCAGAACCCAAGCAGTGTTGTGGACGCCGACATTTGCCCTACAATGTTGTGGACGCTATCAACTCCCACACCGGACAAACACGGTAAGGCTCCCCCCACATGTCTCTGGGCATCAACAGTGTTGTGGATGTCGGCATTTACTATATCAGGCGAACATGGTAAAACCCCTTACATGTCTCTGGGTATCAACAGTATGGCAGGCACCGACGTCTGCCATACCAAAAGAAGACGACGCAACCTCCCACATGCATCTGACATTAGCAGTGTTATGGGCGCCTACAATCATTTTATACCCGACGACGTGGGCAACAAGACTTAGCATACGTACATTCTCCCTCTCTCACTTGTAAAGCCACACCCTTCATCTATAAAAGGGGATGCGCTCTCTCCCAACGAAAGGAGGCTCAGTTCACTAAGATCAACTCACGCACAACAGCAGAACCACTAGGTTCAAACCTCGAGCACACGCTCAAACACTCAGCGCACGTAGGAGCTCCTGTCACTCTCGGCCCTTTAGACCAGAGTCCAACCGGGCCTCTTGCATCCCCATCTTTCTTCCTTCCGTTTGTAATCCCACAGCAAACTTCGAGCACCTGGGCTCAGGAATAAAGTCACCGACCGACTCAAACTGGACGTAGGACACATTGCCTGAACCAGTATAAACCTTGTGTCATTGAGTGCTAGGCCACATCCGATCACAACGTACAACAAAACTATAAATATTTACGTGTTGATCACTTTCTGCACCCGACACTGGTACCCAACTATTTTCAGAATCCTCTATGCGGTCTTCTACACGGTCCAACACCAAATATATCTCTGAACAAGGCTCAAGCTCTGTTGGTTGTCATGTATCAGCAACTAAAGTTATTCCAGAACAAAGGATAGCCACATCTTTCTCGATAACTCATCTGCGTAGTGTGATTTCAAAATTGAATGCCGAAAAGCAGGAACTAGTCCAATCCTTGGTTTTGGTACATTGCTGAAATTGCTACCACAAAATAAATTCCCAAGAATACTTGCACTTTGGCTGATGAGAAACATTAACACAAGAACCTGTCACATGTCACTAAAGAATGGTGCAAAATTGTTTTTCAATGAAAGTGATGTTCAATTCGTTCTTGGCATACCTCGTAAAAAAGTAACTGTGAAGTCTGGTTTGCTAGTTTCACTGTCCCATGTTAACAAGATCAGAAAATTACTGTTGTTGAATCCTGGCTGCGAGATCACACTGGACTGTGTTCTTGAGATATTGACCCTTGATTATGGCAACAATTTGAGCACCAACCAGCGTGATGCTTTCAAGGTAGCTTTTTTGCTATATGCTGATGCTTTTTTCCTGGGACCAAAAGGTCCAAAGCCTAAGATTAACACGGACATGTATCCGAAACTTGCGAAACCCGATCTGATATAAAAAATGAACTGGTGTGGTTATGTGTTGCGTTGTCTGATTGCATCGTCAAAAAGAGTTCAAAATTCATTGTCAACTGGTTATAAAACGGTAAACTTAGATGGCTGCTTACTATTCTTAGTGGTATGTACCTTTCCCTTAATTAGTACACTATTCATTGGCTTTGATAATTGTATAAAATCCTGCATTTCAACTTATCTGAATTCTCGTACAATTCTTTCCAGGTTTTCTATCTTGATAACTTGAATTTTTGTAACATGATTATTTCACAACAGTTGTTACCTCATTTTCTGGACTACCCATTTACTGTTATAAAAAATCTTGAGAAAGCAGATCGTGATGGTAGCAGTGCATCTGGAATGGTTATATATGGACGTCACGAGGTAATGACATACTTTGATTAATCATGTAACTGACGAAAAGAATTATTTCCCCCATATAATTTCCTTCTTTTGCTGATTTTTTATTTTGTTTTTCACCTGCAGCTGCTTCTAGATGAACAAGTGGTATACAGCTGGAACAACGTTCCCGAGCAAAAGAAAACGGCACAAATTAGAACGGTTAACATTTTTACATAATTCCATTTTGGTTTTTCTAATTTGTCCACATCTTGAAATATTTTTTATTTCAAAATGTCATGCAGCCATCAATTCATAAGCACAATTTGAACACTGAATGTAAGATTTTGGAGGCCAAGCGCAAACTTGACCACTGGGCAAAGCAAGTTAACAGGATCACTACAGATGTGCATTCAGACATTTTGAAAATTCTAAGTCCCAGCTTCCGTAGTCTTGATGAAGATTATGAAAGCAATTTATGCTTCAATCATACACCACCAGGTTGTTAGATTCTATCCAGGACACCTATCTTTATTTGTTTTGTTTGGATTTTATATTTAGTTATTTTACCTATTTTTTTAAACTCAGGAATTAATTCCATGACTGAGGAAACACCACCAATTGTTGACTACACACAAAATACATGTTTCACTACAGTATACAAACAATGGGTTTCATATCACAGAAAATCGGTGTTTCAGGAATCTCAATAGTTCCGAGTTCAGGGAGGGCTGTGAGAACATAGTCAGTGCTAGTAACAAAAAGTTACCTTATGGATCACCTGATAGAACATTATGTTCAATTGGTCAGACTAATAGAATTAGTCAGATTGATACTGAAAGCTCTTTAAACATCCCCTCTGTAGTCCAGCCAGGTATGCTCATTGTTTGTTTTAATTAGATAGCAAAAAATCTTGATGCCTCTTACAATCCGAAAACTAATTTTAGATTCAAGAATTTAAAAATATATTTTTTAACACATGCAGGATCTCCCCCCTTTCTATTGAGTTTAGCTGTTGCGACACTGCAGTATACAATGATTTGCAAACTCAAATCATGCAAAAATTGCAGCAAATGCGTTTGGCCTTTAATGGTACCAACTATCTTTTTTAAAGTCTGCATTCCCCAATAGTTGTTTTTCGCACAGTCTATGATAGGATTGCAGATCCTACCGGGTTTGCTACGTAGGGCGTAGGGATGAGAGATCGGAGGACGGAGCTTTGGGCGGCGAGTTGGCGCCGTGGTCACGGCGCGGGGAGCAGAGAGGGGTGCGGCTAGGGCTCCCAGAGGAAGCCGGCAACAATAGGTTGCTTCTGCTTATTTTTTCCAATCATCCAAGATTACAAATATTACAAGCTCTGTGTTTGTTTTCTTATTTTGTTCGTTTTGTTCTAGACCATTATGGTGATACACGTTGTTGACTTGGAGAATTTTTCCCTCACGTTGTTGACTTGGGGATTGATCCTGAGGTTACTTCTGGGTCGTCTCAGGTTGGTTCTTGACTGTTCACACCCTAATGATTCATGACTGTGGTTGTACGATCTAAGTTTTTCCTTATCACACAACGCTTTTCCTTGGCTATGGATGAGTTTGTGTGGGATAATGATAGTTCACAAGAATGGCTTCACCAATGATAGTTTAAACATAGTGGATGCATAAAGTAGCTCACAAGTACACCTCACACTCTCAAGAAGCAGAGTTGCACGATACATGACATTGACAAAGGTAGGTAGGATTTGACTTGGAGGCCGCAACACCTATAGTGCTAACCAGTAGATGCAGGACTAGAAGCCTAGAACAACTGAACCTAGCTAATCGTAGATAGATAATCTAACAGCAATCGTAGAGTGCTTAATCTTTTTCCTCGGCTTGGTGCTCGCCTGCTCAGAGTTATGCTCGCGCCATGGATCTCCTCGGCCTAGGTTTCGATTGCCACTGCCGGCATCTGCAGTCCAGCAAGCACCCATTAGTTATTACTAGTATTAGATGCTGTTCAATAAACTACTTTGGTAAACAGTAACTACAGCGTGCATCATGTTGTAAAATGAATTAAGACAAAACTCAAATTTACTAGAACACCTGGTATTTACTGGTGAGGTGCCCTCAAGAATCATGCATGAGAAATATGACCATTTGAATTCCATGTTAGTAAATGAAGCTTCTATAAGACTTAGAGTACAGCAACATCAGGAAAAATGCATTGTTCATCGATTGTTAGTATATAAGTTGTGGGAAAGTTACTTTACAGTCCGGTAGAAAAATCGCACCGTGACACCAAATTTGTATTTGGCAACATATATATTGTAAAATGATTTGGCGCAACAGAGGATTTTACAGATCAAAACATACTCAGTGAACATGTTATTCTACTTCTTCCATTGCAGAGAAAAAACAGAGCACCATGGTACATGCAATGTAATGTGTTCCAAAGAAAAGAACAGTCTCTCATTCTCACCAGGCCTGCATGGCTGAAAGCTCCAGTGGTTCGTTGCCTTTTCAGATGAAGATCCTGCTCATCAGAAGAAGTGGTCTCCTCCCTTGGATTCTTCCTTATGTTCAATCCCTGGTGACCACTCTCTGCATTGAAACCCTCTTGCTTTACATTTTGTGGAATTATTACAATATGCAATGTCTGAAATAGGCTTATTATTATTATTATTATAATATGCTTTCTTGCAGTAAATTCTGAATACTAACAGGGGTACAATAACTTTTCAGGAAGTAGAATGTAGAAACACTGAATTTGGCCAACAGATATGTGAGCGTCAAATCACTGCATGCTATCCATAGACCAAATATTTTTCCTAATTGAATCAACAATATTTAAACGTTAGATCCAATATTGTTAAACGTCCCTCTGGCTAGCACTTTTGGTGTTCTCACAAGCAATAATATAGTGGATCAACACTGGAGATGAAAACTCATCCAAGTATCAGAGCAAACTGCAAACCTGCATTTGTCATCAGTGGGAGCTCGGAATTTTTAGCAGGGCTTGTCAAGCAACCAACCACAGTCGACGAGATTTGAGCACCAGGAGTAAGGGCATGGCATGCTGATTTACCTACATTTGTCACTGATCAGATACCATAGTTTCTACCAGAGGTTGTCTACTAAAAATAGCATGTGATACTGGAGAGGTGCTCTTAGCACAAGGTTAAACAGTTTTACCTGCATTTGACAATGGCGTCCCAGGAGTAACAAACACATTACGTGAGACTGGAGCAACAAGAGCACCTGTACCAAGTTGATGAGTAAGAACCAGCAGGAGTGATGTACTAACGAGAGACTTGGGTTTCTAGAAGAATGGAAGACTGGAGCAGCAGGTGTTCTTATCAAATAATTTGTCAACTTACCTGCATTTTCCACTGATGTCACCACAGGGTTTATAACAGGGCCTGCCAAGCTACCAAACGTAGTCTGCGAGAGTGGAGCACTAATAGCACCTGAAGAAGTTGAACAGTTCGAATTAGTAGCAGGCAGCTACATATGCAAAGTGACATATCAAAGTTTGGCAAGGCTATTGCATTCAAGTGTTTTTTATGAATTATCATGCACCTTAATAAACAGATAATAAGATATAAAGCAAAACAAAACAAGAAGCAAATAATGTAATGGACAACTTAAGCACCATGGATGTTTTAAAGATAACCTCCGCAGAAAAAAAATGAGGTGAACACATACTGCATAGCAGCATAGGACTAAACAGTAGTCACACTAGAATGTACCAGGACAAGGCATTACAGAGGTCACATCAGTTTGGGAAGACTTTGGTTGACCCAAGGTGAAGCAGTGCCAAGGGCCTTCAATTGGAACCAATTACTTACTCCAGTTATATAAATAAGAAATATTTGGTATTCCATTTCTATCTAATACGGGACATTGGCCATCAGTTTAAACTTCTAGGAGATACAGATTTTCATAACATGTTTTTTTTTTAAAAAAATAACAACTTGTGCATCTTTATGGCTAATCATGATATTTCAAATAAACACTTATGCACAAATGTACAAAGAATACTTAGAGCAGATTTTTCTTAAATATTACACATTGCTCTCAAACAGCTAAAAGTTTCAAGGAAGAATTAAGAAAATGGAGTTTTGTCAGAGCAAAAAACATCTTGAAGGCAGTAAACTACAAGAATTTTCAGCATGGTTTGTTGATTTCATAGTTTGTGAGACAGGAGGAACAGGAGCACCTTATTGAGTTCTGGCAATCAAAAATAGAAACAGGGAGCCTGGTAATCTGGTAAAAGGTAAATGTTTGATGTTGCCACTACGTGGGAATGCAGTTATCAGTTAGCATGCACATGAAACTCTTGCAAAATGCAATTATATAGTGCACACAAACCTCATGAAACACATTGTCCTCCACTAAGATAAAACAATCAATAAGCTAGCAATCAACTAATCATAGTGGAAAAAGCAGCAGGACCCTGTGAAACAGGAAACTAGTGCAAAACATGGAAGTAAGCAACAAACTAAAGACAATAGAGAGTTTTTGAAGAGCTTCCTTCGTAGAAATTGGGCTATAAATACTGGCACTAGAACTGATATTGTTATCAGTAGCGCACAATCTAGTACATTTGAGATATCTTAACAACCTATGATACAATACATCAGTTTTAGGGATGGAGTCTTGTGCTGGTGTGAAAACAAGGCTGCTCAATTAACATACCTGCATTTGCCATCAATCCGGTACCAGAGTTTCCACAACCGCTTGTTAAGTTACTAAACACAGGCTGCAAGAGTGGAGCACCAGTAGGTGGCACATGGCTTGCCAGTTTACCTGCATTTGTCACTAAGATATAACTGAGTTTCAAGGAGGGGTTGTCTAAGTACAAAAATATATAGTATGGAAAATTTGAGCAGCAGGTGTTCTTAGCACGCAATTAGCCAATTTACCTGCATTTGCAACTGATGGGATCCCAGTGTATATAGCAGGGCATGTCAAGCTACTAGAGATGGTCTGCAAGACTGGGGCAGCAGTAGTACCTGTAACTAATTAAACAGTTAAAAGGGCAGATATGAGATATCAAGGTACTTATTAGTTGCAAAGAAAACACATCAAAGCCTGACATGGCTGTTACACTGAAGTGTCAGCCAAATAAGAGATGCGAAAAAATAGTTAACAGCGCATATATCTTCTTATTGAGGATCAATTTCATAGATGAACAGATCAAATAAAGATGTGCTGCAGTTGTTCTCTAATAATGAGAAATTTTAGGGATTCGTCAATCCTATGGAGGCTGGTAGTGGCTTAGAACTGATGATATTGACAACAGTAATAAAATTAGTGCGCTAGATGCAATAGGTGCAGAAAAGTGGGCATAACAAAAATGAGGTTATTCACAGCGGCAACACAACTAAGGCGAGACAGTTCCATCTAATTTAGCATGGTATGAAACATGTCAAGTGTGCTTTTCTTTTGCAAAAAGTATGAGGGACCACAATATAAAAAGAAAACATGTAGAGCCAAGACGAACACAAATTGAAGTTGAAATGGAAAGCATGACCCGAAGCTTATTGGCATAATTTTCCTATTGAGACACCTTTAAAAGCCATTCAACAAGTAGCACATCCCATGCAAATCTAGATATTAAGTTCATACAGTGAAAACTTTTAAAGTAGCTTTATTTGGGGATGTAAAAAGTGTGAACATACCTTCCGTTTCAGGTTTTTTACCAGCTTTTAAACATTCATCTGAAGGCCAACAAGTTCAACATCAGTAAATATGATGACACGATATCTGGCTATAAAAATTAGCGCATACATAATCTAACCCCAAACAAATTAGTTAACAGAAGAGACAAAGTTAGCTGATAATCAGTTTTATCAACGATAAGCTACGATGTAAGTTGGGATAAGCTTACAGCGTCCATGTCTGCTCAAGCTACCAAGCACTAATCAACAAGAAATTGAGCTTAAGGCTAATCAAACATAAGCTTGATTTAGAGTGTGACGACAAGATTGTTTACCAAGAATATCTGCCATCCGATGCAGTGCCTTGATCAAGGTTAACTTTTCTGCAATTGAAAACATATATCTCATATGCAAATGTTACCAGCCAAAAATGCTTAATGACAAAATATTTATAGAAAGAATGGTATTTTACGGTCATATGTTTCCTGAGAGGGATCTGAAGAAGCTGGCAGTCTGCAGAAGAAACAAAAAGGAACAATGTGAGAAAACACATTATATGCAACAAACAGTGAGATTGAGCTAGCGATGATCATTATACAGTTCATCTCAAGATAAGTATGTAACAGCGCATTCGTGGATCGGAGTACCTGCGCCATCTCACAAGGTAGCTCTTGGCAACTCCAGCAGGGGATTTTGGCTGCCGGGTCCTCTGTTTCTTTGGGCGACACCTCCGGCGGAAACTGGCAAGATCGATCGATTACATATGAATCGAACAGACAGACGGAGTACCAATGAAACCAGAGACCAGCAGATGAGATCAGATGAACAAGCTAGCAAGTGTGGAAGCTGGTAGAACACAAAAGGCAAGGAGCAGTGGGTACCCAAAGCCAATGGGAAGAACATTGTGCGGCCTCATTGACCCTCCCGGCATTAAGGTCAAGTCTTTGAGCTCCGGCGTCGCATATGCCAATTCCTCCAAAATCTCTGCCGCCATTTCCTTCACACGCTCCCAGTCAATCGAGGCCCTATGTATCACACCACGTTTATTTCAGTATTTGTTATGTTTATTTATCATAACACGAGATTGATGATTTGGTTCGAGGCACGCAGAAACAGACAGCAGCACCAAACGAATTGGGGAAAGAATTGAAGCGCGATCTAATGCATACTCCTAATGCGAGTTAATTTGGATAGGGTACTAGAGCTACTGGATCTCTGTATAAACCAAACCTGGCTTGCTGTACGTTGAGTATGATGGAGCGGAGCCTTATTTGGCCATGGCAGATGGTTCTTTTGTGGTCGAGGTACTGCTTGGACAGGTCGTCTGGCCAAGGGTGTGACACTTCCCCGCCGCCGACGATGTTGGCCAAGGTACTGAACGCGTTGAAGACGCGGCTGAGGACCATGGCCTCGACGCTTGTTCGGCGCCTGGTGACCAGCGGCAGGAAGCGGGAGAGGTAGAGATTGGCATCTTGCCATTGGTCATGCAGCACGAAGTGCTTCAGGTGTGGCACCCACAGCATGGCATCCGACTCGCTCAGCATCCTGCACACAGGACGCGAGAAGCAGGCATACATCAATGATCCAAGACAACAAGCAAGCAGGCAATCGACGGAGGAGCGAGCGTGTACGTACGATCCGTGGGTGTCTCGGAAGCCTTGGAGCCAGAGAAAGGTGAGGAGCCGCCGGTGGCGGTACCGCCTCACGCAGGGGTACTCCGCGCCGCCGTCGCCGCAACGCATAGGGAGCACCATCTCGCCGAAACGGTTAAGGAGCAACATCTCGCCGCCGTCGCTGCGGGTTGGGGATTCAAAGTAACTTCCTCGGCGTTCGCCGCAATATATATAAATACCGTACTATGGACGAGCGTTCTCTTCCTTTCTCTTTCCGAGTCTTTAGACTTCTCTCTTTCCGAGCTTCCGACTTCGTACTTTCTCTCGACAGTCTCTGTCTCTCCCGGCTCTGCTCTCGTTCCCCTCTCTCCCATCCGATCGGAATGAATCGGACACGCCCGGCCGGGCCCGCCGATTTGTGCTCGATCAGGCCTTGATCGCCGTCGGTCAACCGGGCCTAGATAAATATCCCAACCTTTTAGAAAAGGGAAAAGATTCTCAAAAAAAAAAAAGGAAAGGAAAAAAAATTCTAATTTAACTCTCGTCCGATTCTCCAAACTATAAAAATCAGTGTTTCCATCCCCTCAACTTTAAAAATCGATTGTTTTCTGTCTTAGATGATTTGATTAATGGTGATTTTGCTGATATAGCACCATGTCTAAGGGTAAATCGGACTAAGTTGAAAATTAAAAAGGTAAATCAGATTGCAAATAATTTAAAAAAATATTCAAAAAATCCTTAAAAACAATTGTTCAAAATTCTATCTATATATTTTTTTACATGGAAAAAAAATGCAGTTAAAAGCCTAAAATCTAGTTTAATCTTTGAAATTTTTGTTTTACCATGAAAAATTATGAAACAAGTTCCAAGTTTCTTTTTCTAAAATCATGCACTATTTTATGGTGGCTAGCTTGAAATTGTTTGAATCTTGATGTGACTCTTTTTGTGCTTATTTCTTAGTAGAAACCCTCGTTATCTATTATAATTAGTCGACGTTGATGGTCTATTTAAATCGTCTTATGGTGCTGATTTGGCACCATAAGATAGGGCATGAATTTATGGGGGGAATCTAAAACTAGTTTTCATAATTTTTTGTGGTAAAACAAATTATCAAAAATTAAACTAGATTTTAGGATTTTAATTGTATTATATTTTTAAACTAAAAAATATATGGATAGATTTTATTGAATTTATTTTTATTATTTTTTTGGATATTTAAAAAACTATTGTCCAATTTACTTATAAACTTTTAAAATACTTCGATTTACCCTCTCTGATGTGGTGCCTTTCAGCAAAACTACCCAAGGTGGAAAAACAAGCAGCTTTAAAAGTTTTAAAGGGGTAAACAAAATAGTTTTGTAGTTTAGAGAGCAAAATCCGACGATCACAATAGTTGAGCAAGGTAAATTGAACCATTTTTCCTTTAGAAATGCGTGTTGGGTTAGCCCATTCGAGAATACTACTAAGGGTTGAGCTTCCTAGGAGCCAAAGTGGGCCATGACCCCTTCTTATACAAACAATTTCTTAAGTAAATATTTAATTCGATCATTTAATTGACAAAAAATGCTAATATAGCCTCTATTGTTGTTGATTACATTTAGGCCCCGTTTGGCAGGGCTTCACTTCACTAGTGAAGCCATTTTTTTTGGCTTCAGCTCCACGAACAGCTCCACCGGTGGAGCTGAAGCGGTTTTGGTAAACCGTTTGGCAAAATGGCTTCCCTATGAGAGCATGTTTTTAGGGGCCTGGAGGAGGAGCCGGGAGAAGCCACTATTTTTTGTTCCTTCCCACCCTAAAGCTCTGTGAGAGCACGTTTTTAGGGGCTTCATCAGTGAAGCCGTTTCATTTTACCCCGTTTGGCAGAAAACGGCTCCAAATAGCTCCTGAAGCCGCTGGAGAAGCCCTGCCAAACGGAGCCTTAATTTGGCTCCGTTTTGTAAAAGTGTCTCAATTCATTGTTCCACGTATCCCAGCAAAATCCACTCAACCTAGCGTGGAATTGAGCCACACCTCCAGAGTTGTGGAACGAATCCCCACGGATGTGAGCGCGGTGCGTAAGGGTGTGTTTGGTATAGCTTTTTATGGCTCCGGCTCCTACACTTTGTAGCACTTTTCCAGGAGCCATTTTTCTCTCCTATCAAAATAAGCTAAGAGCTGAGAGTCCTGCTCAGCTTCTCCGGTACTAATGTGGAGTAGAGCCCAAAGGAGGCCAGCCAAACGGGCCTAAATATTCCGATAGGCACGGCGGTAGTGCCTCCCTATTATCCGCTATTCAACGGTGCATCCAGATTTGTGCGTTCTTTGTGTACATGGCGATGCTGCTCGATCAACGGTCATTGACTTATGACCATGACACGCAGAGGATGTGGATCCTCGCCTTCGAGTATTGCACCCCTGGCGGATGTTTTACCTTTATTGGATTATCTTTGATTTTTATATATGTGTTTGATAATCATCCGTCTAATTTGGTCACTTCCTCGCCATCGATGGAGGCAAGGCATCTCGTCCCAAGGCATCCTTCACGCTGAGGAAACTCAAAAGGATGCGTTTACTTGCAATTTTAAATTGGATTAAATATATCTAAAAATATTAATGTTTACGATATATCTAAAAATATTAAAAATTTATGATATAGTACAAACGCTTGCACATGATGATTAACATAAAATATATGACAAATTAAATATTTTACTTATACTATATGAATAATAAAAAAGATACATCGTGAAAACGGCCAGCCTGGCCACCGGCTCCATGTTTTATCGCTCTTTTATATATACAACTAAAAAACGAGAAAGCATAGGCTGCATGCTGTTTTGTTTTGACAAATTGAGACAACCTATTGGAGGATCACTCAACTCACTTTCCATTAATCTCATGTGGATTTATATTGAGAGTACAAGGAAATAAGAAGAGATGGAAAATAAAGAGACTGCAACTCTACAACTCTTAATATGCTAACACCCCCGCAATTGGAACGTCCACACTAATCAGGAGTCGAGACATTCAAACTGGAGCGAAATTCTGTAAATACAGAGGTAGGAAGACCCTTGGTGAACACATCTGCATATTGAGATGTAGAGAGCACATGAAGAACTCGAATTTTCCCTGTAGCAACTTTGTCCCTTACGAAATGAAGATCGATCTCAACATGTTTAGTGCGCTGATGTTGCACTGGATTGGTTGAGAGATAAACTGCACTAACATTATCACAAAAAATCACATAGGAACATCGGGGACAGAAATGAAGCTCCTGAAGTAATTGTCGGAGCCATGAGATTTCTGCCATGGCATTAGCGACAGCTCTATACTCGGCCTCAACACTAGAGCGAGTACTGGCGCTTTGAACTAACTCCATGCATGTGCATTAGGACCTAGTGAGCTAACAAAATCCTTAGGAAATGTTTGTGAAAATGCTAACTCATGTACACAAGTGATTGACAAACTTGTGGCTAGCACTTTTGTTCAAGGGTTGAAGACTTAGATGCAAAGGAACTCGCTACAAGCGTCGGACCGTGAAATGGTCAACCGTTGGACTATCCTAGTTCACAGTCCAACGGTCAACCCTGGGGTCGCAAAGAAGGTAGTCAACACGCATCGCGATCGAGAACACACTATCATTCATGATTCTCGTGTCCCGGGCTATCGGCCGTGTTTTGGGTAATTCATTGTGTGCCCTCCACGTCGCGGTTCCAAACACGGACTAGTTTAATTTCTAATAAAGCTATGCTAGAAATCGACCGCGAGAGCACACTATCATTCGTGATTCTCGTGTTCCGGGCTATCGGCTGAGTTTTGGGTATCACACCGTGTGCCCGCCATGCCGCGGTTTCAAACACAGGCTAGTTTAAATTTCTATTAAAACTATGCTAGATACGGACCATGAGAACACACTATTATTCGTGATTCTCGTGTCGCGGGATATCGGCCACGTTTTGGGTATATCGCATCCCAAGGCACCAAAACATGAGCAGAGAAGGAAAAAGAAAAATGAACGCGTGCTTCTATTTTTCTGCGTTCAATCAATCAACGGTGATTTGATCAATCCGTGTTGACAAAAGCTTTTCATCATGTTCATCTACTTTCGTTGTGCGGTGGTACGCAATGCAATGGAAGCAACCGGTGGATCGGCAGCGGTTCAGCCACCCGTCCCGGCAACCGTCGCGTCGCAAATCGCATTGCATTATTCCCAAAGTCCCCATCGCCCAAGCATGTGCTTCGCGGGCCCCACAGCTGCCAACTTTTCCTTTCCTTTGTGACTGACACGCGGCCCCGGTTAGCACCGCTGGCCGCCCGGATCGAATCAGAAGAGTCCACGTACTGCGGCACTGCCTACCACAGCACCCACTCGACGTGTCACGCTGACAGTGGGTCACAGGTCAACGCGTGGTCCCACCAGTCTTCGGTGACCCGCAACGCGATGCGCTCGTGACCAGAGTCGCCTTAGACGCGTCCGGCGAGAGAGAGGGCCCCGCCTCCGCCGCGGAAACTGGAACAAACGTGTATCACCACAAAACGAATGAAATAAGAAAATAAACACAAAGCCTCGCCCGCAAAAATTCATTGCCACGAAGCGCTTACAGTAACACAGAAGTTGTTGATTAAAAAAGAAATCAAGCCAATAAGCAGCAACAACACAGAAGTTGTTATGATACATCAAAAGAGGCACACCCTCCCCGGCCAGCAACCTGCGCAGGTCCAAACGAAGCAACCTGTGCAGGTTTCACAATGTTAGCTTTATAAGGCCTTGTTTAGTTCCACGAAATTTGGGAATTTGGCTACTGTGGGACTTTCGTTTTTATTTGACAATTAATGTTCAATCATGAACTAATTAGGCTCAAAACGTTCGTCTCGCGATTTTCCACCAAACTGTGCAATTATTTTTTTTTTCCATCTACATTTAATGTTCCATGCACGTATCGCAAGATTCGATGTGATTGACTACTGTAGCACTTTTTGAAAAAACTTTTTGAAACTAAACAAGGCCTAAGCTCACAAAACCAAACCACCCTCCTAATCCAAGATGACCCCACAAATAAAGTCAATCAACCTAAGGTCTATGTAAACCCCTTGCTTGCATCATCTTTGTCCAAAGCCCTAGGCACGGTCTGACGGTCGAAGCCTCACCAGCACGCTCCGCA